CTCCATAAATTAATGCGAATTTATGCATGTTTGTCTGACAAAAAACGATGATAACTATTTTTATATGTTCCTTGAAGTTAATTTAAAAGTATAATTGATTGGTAATCATAGAAAATGCTTTAAGTAACATTTATCTATTAGGCTAAAAGTTAAATTTGAAATAAGCTACATTATTCCGATTAACAAAACTCTAGTGCTGCCAGAGGAAGATACTTGCTGACTGATTAAGCAATTGTGGTTCGGCTGCAACCTACTATGAAGTAACTGTATGTTCATTTTATTATAACAAATAAAAACAGCTAAAGTCGAAAGTGCTTCAAGATGGATATGATGGCCTTGCTAAACTCATTCGCTTTGAATTTTATTTGCTCAGTTAAGATGGTATATCGGGCGCATAGACAATCTAATATTAATGGCCTGACTATTTGTAAGTCCGTATTCCCCTGAAATATGGATATATTTATGGTCTAACTACCTCTTATTGGCCGACCTTTTTCCCATCAGCTTTCTTGCCCAAATTTAAATCCAGTCAGTCCATTTAAAAAGGCCACTCGGAGTCAAAAAGTGTTTTATCCTTTGTGCTCCTTCTGTTATTTTTTTATACTAAATCTTAAATACATGAGATGCATTCACTCTATTTCGTTAAGGAAATGAAGAACCCTAACGAAATAGGATGAACATATCTCATTTATATGATTTACTAGTAGTCTCTAAACATACTAATAAACGAAAAATGAATCTTAAAGAAACTGACTATAAATGTTGCATGTTACTTTTTCCGACATTTTTGCCTGTTTGGACACTTCCGATAAATCAGCAGAGCTGATGAGAGAGTAACTTTCAAAGTATTTTGTTTGCATTCCCGTGTCCTCTTAAAGTGTGTCATCTCAATATTTTACGCCTTACTCCTTCTATCATTGAATGCATTTGATACCCGAATGCATTCTTGTACTGCTCACATGCGCACGCTCACATACTTCATTCGTACACACACGCCCATCTTTCGCTGGCCTCTGTCATGCCAACCCATCAGGACAATTCTGTGAAGAGACATCTTTTTCTGCTAGAGCGAACTCAGACCAGGTGTACCTACCTGCCCCAGAAGTGAATCAAGCAGCCAACATACAAAGAAGCGATGACTTACTGAAGCCTATAGATACAGGTCTTATACAGCTAGGCTCACCCGAGGAACTTGTCAATGTCCCATGCGACTACAATCTGTGCCAGAATGAAGCCAGTTGTCAAAACGAGCCGGACGGAGCTTACAAATGCCACTGTGAATCGGGTAAGTGATTTACTCACTTTTTATTTTTAGGCTAGCATAAGGCAATAGCCACAGCAAAGGTGATACCTGTTATTGTATGACTCTTGAGTGAGGAAACGTAGAGTTTAGAAGCTTGTTGAGAATCCATTCTTGATTGCTCTCCTACTCCAATATCCTCGGCTTAGAATCAACGCCTA